CTAATCTACATGCCTCCGTCGAAGGAGGCATGTAGTCTAGACACACCCTTTGAGAGGGAGATCAGATACTTCTCATTTGGCTCTGGGGAGGCCACATCTGGAGTATTGTGTCCAGTTCTGGGCCCTCCACTACAGAAAGAATGTGGATGCATTGGAGAGGGTCCAGCGGAGGGTGACCAAAATAATTAGGGGCTGGAGCACATGATCTATGAGGAGAAACCGAGGGATTCAGGTTTGTTAAGTCTGCAGAAGAGAAGAGTGAGGGGGGACTTGATAGCAGCCTTCAACTTCCCGAAGGGAGGTTCCAAAGAGGATAGAGAAAAGCTGTTCACAGTAGTGATGGATGCAGAACAAGGAACAATGGTCTCAAGTTACAGTGGGGTAGGTGTAGGTTGGATATTAGGAAAAACTATTTCAGTATGAGGGTGGGGAAGAACTGGAATGGGTTACCTAGGGAGGGGGTGGAATCTCCATCCCTAGAGGTTTTTAAGTCTGGGCTTGACAAAGCCCTGACTGGGTTGATTTAGTTGGGGTTGGTCCTGCCTTGGGCAGGTGGCTGGACTTGATGACTCCTGAGATCTCTTCCAGCTCTATGATTTTATGATTCTATTAGGGCTGGGGTAGGGGTTTGGGATATAGGGGGGCTTAGGGGTACAGGCTCCAGATGGTACTTCCCTCAAGTAACTCCTGGAAACAGTGGCATGTCCCTCCTCCAGCTCCAATGTGGAAGTATAGCCAGGTAGTTCTGCTTACTGCCCTGTCCACAGGCACCATTTCTGCACCTCCCATTAGCCGTGGTTCCCGGCTGATAGGAGCTGCAAAGCCAGCGCTTGGGGCAGGATTAGTGTGCAGGACTCCCAGGGCTGCTCTGGTAGCAGAAGCCACATGGAGTCCAGAGTTGGACAGAAGCACTCCGTCTAGAGCACTGGAGCAGGGCAAATTCCTGACCTCACTCCCTAGCAGGGAGTCAAGAGCTAGAATAAAGAATCTGAAGAGCTAGACACAGACCATGAGCCATACTTTGCCTCCTCTGGTCTAAAGACAGACAGCTTTCTTTGACAAGCTAACAAGCCTCGAGGATGGGGGGCAGCAACGCTTTTGATAACATCTTGCATGACCTTCACATAAACAAACTAGGGAAATGCAACCTAGATGGAGCTACTATAAGAGGGGTGCAGAACTGGTTGGAGAACTGTTCCCAGAGAGTAGGAGAGTCATGCTGGTCCACTCCTGTTCAATATCTTCATTTAGATAATAGCACAGAGAGTGCACTGATAACATTTGTGGAGGGGGGCAATGCATTGGAGGTTAGGATTAAAATTCAGAAATTATCTGGACAAGCTAGAGAAATGGTCTGAGGGAAATGGGATGAAATTCAATGATGTCAAATGCAGAGTGCTCCACTTAGGAAGGAACAATCACACATACAGAATGGGAAGTGACTGTCTACAAAGGGGACTGCAGAAAGGGACCTGCTCATCATAGTGGATAGCAAGCTACATGTGAATCAACAGTGTATCACTGTTGCAATAAAAGGGAACATTATTCTGGGATGTGTTAACAGGAGTGCTGAAAGCAAGACACAAGTCATTCTTCTGCTTCACTCCACACTGATTAGGCTTCAGCTAGGGATATAAAATCCTGTTTAATTGGCTTACCAGTTAAACATATTGCTTAACTAGTTAACCAATTAAAGGAGGGCAAGTAGGAAGCACTCCTGCTAGGCTGGAGCACTCCCCACTCCCCTTCCCCCTCCCACCACCATACACACATCCCCACCACCACAGGCCGGAGCTGCTCCAGAATCCCAGTCAGAGTGTCCAGGCCCACTGCAGGCAGGGGCTGCACCAGAGCAGCTAGCTCCTGTCTGAAACAGATCTGCCATGGCAGGCAGGCAGCCAAGTCAGGCCCACCAGTTAACCTTAACTGGTAAGCCTCACCCATGAAGAATGATGCTCACTGGTTAATCAGTTAACCCTTCACATCCCTAGCCTCAAATGGAGTATTGTGTCCAGTTTTGGGTGCCACATTTCAGGAAAGATGTGAGCACATTGGAAAAAGGCCAGAGAAGACCAACAAAAATGAATAAAGATCTAGAAAACATGACCTATGAGGGAAGACTGAAAGAACTGGGTTTGTTTAGTCTGGAGAAGAGAAGGCTGAGAGAGGACCTGATAACAGCTTTCAAGTACATAAAAGGTTGCTACAAAGAGCAAGGAGGAAGGAGAAAAATTGCTCTCCAACCTCTGAGGATGGGACGAGAAGCAATGGGCTTAAATTGCAGCAAGGGAGCGTTAGGTTGGACTTAGACAAAACTTCCTTCATGTCAGGGTGGTTAATCGCTGGAATAAATTGCCTATGTGGGTTGTGGAATCTCCATCACTGGAGATTTTTTTAGAGCAGGCTAGACAAACCCCAGTCAGGGATGTCTAGAATAGAATACTTAGTCCTGCCATGAGTTCCGGGAACTGCACTAGATGAGCTCCCAAGGTCCCTTCCAGCCAGAGGTGACTTGTGGGAGGGGCATAAAAGGTCACATGCCCTTCCCAAAAATGCTGTGGGGACAAAAGCTAGTGGCAGAGCCAGGGCCAGAACGTCTCCTCTTCCAGTTCCAGCTAGTCTGCCTGCCTAGCACACTGCCCAGTACAGGGCAGTGCTTGCGCTCTCCCAGGCACTGCTGTGCTGCACTGGGCAGTGTCCCAAGCGTTCAGTGTTGCCAGAGGCTGCCTGGGAGAATGCACAGCCAGCCTTCCCCACCCAGCCACTGTCAGGAATGTGCCCTGGGACAGGATGGGGAGAGAATAGGAGGTGGGAGCCAGTCACATGGGGGATCATGTGGGAAGGTCACATGCAGGGGTATGTAAGTTACGTCCCTGCCTCAGCAGGTTCCCCTTTATTACCCTCCTATTTGTTACCCCAAATTCCATCCCTAGAAGCTATACCTTGTAGTATCTCCCCTGTTCGATGCACCCACAGCTCCCCTGAGGCACGCAGCCCTGGCCATCAAACAAGAAGCCATTATCACACTGGCAGCCTTCTGCACAGCTCTCCGGGCAGTCGGTGATATTTCCAGCACAGGATGTGCTGCAGAGGTCAGCACAGACTTGGTAGTGGCTGTTAGCAGGGCAGCTCATAGCTTAAATGGAGAGAGAAAAAATTATTGGCTGGCAAATCTCATCTCATGGGATAGAGGGCCAGAGACATAAGAGAAGAGCTCAGGAGAAGACAATGACACCTGTGGGTGTTGGTTCACCCTAGCAAGATTCTGTGAAGAACCCCAGGAGTCTGGAAGTTCATTCTCAGAAATGCTGTCTCCCTCTCCCCTCTTGTCCCACACCCAGTGCATCTTGGCAATCTGAGCTCCATCAATATCCCGGCACTTACGGCAGAAGGAGGCGCTCCTCCAGGGCTGGATGGAGGCCCCAGCCTCCTGGCAGGCTGTCACGTAGCTGTGGATGCTCTGGCACAGGACCGGGGAGTCCCCGTTGGCCAGGCACACGTCATAGAGGCAGTTGTTGAAATACACGCTGGGGCTGGGGGCTGCTGGGGTCTGTGAGCACCCCGCAGTAGTGGCGCTGTTTGAAGACGTCCTTCTTCTTTTCTTCACAAACTGGACAGCTGTTCCCAGCACACCTGTCTATACAGGATTCTCCTGGGACCTGGACTTCCCAAGCAGAGCCAAATGCTGCCACATCAGGGGCTGCCTTTCCACTGGGGAGCAGGAACTTGCTGTCCTGCCGTCCTCTATAGTTCCCACACAGGCCACATGTGTGGCCACGGTATCGCTGTGGAATGGTGACTCTGGCCTGGTAAACCAGGTCGTAACTCACCGTGAGGCCAAAGTCAGTTTGCACCAGGATGTTAGTGCCATGCTGATATGCTTGGAGTTGTCTGTTGGCCATGATCATAGGGAGATTGTGGAACACCCCATCCACCTGAAAGAGATATGGCATTCTCCTGTGAGCAGGAGCAGTGGACCCTGGCCAGAAGATGGAACAAGGCATTTTCAGATTATGCTCGCACTCACACATGGAGTAAATCCAGAATGGCCCATGTTTCCAGATTTGGAATTACATCCTCATCTTCCAAGGTGAGTTTGACTTATCCACATCTTCCAGGGGGAGTTTGTTACCTTGGCCTACATCTCTTCTTTCTTCTCCCTATCTGCCCAGATGTTCCCTCTTGAACCTCCCTCTTTTCCATCCCTATCTCCTCCACCCATATCTGGCCTGCATCTCCTTCTCATGACAATATAGTATACCTCTTCTTTTTCATCTCAGACTCTCTCCTAAAACCCACTTTTCTCATGAACCCTTCTCCATTCAGCTCTGACCTCCCTCCCCATCTAGACCAATTTCTACTTGTTCCAAGGTAAATGACAAGCTTCTCTGGAGAACTGACCACGGGAGCAGATTCTTCCACAGAGAGTCCAGCAGAGATCCCATGGGGAGAAATTTCATCCCATGTTTGCAAAACATGAGGTATGTGAAGGGGTTTCCCAAATAACTGATATTCGTAAATATGGGGTATGGATCAAGAAGAGGCAGAGAAGATGTATCTGAGCTGCAGGACACTTTGCTTGTGCTCACATAGCAGCATCCAGGAGTACTCATTTCTGCCATGTCCAGTTTTATGGCTAAGGGATTCTGTGCCGCTGCACAAAGCAGAATTTGAAGAGATATAAAGATGTGCACAGAATCCCCGCCCCCTTGGGCAGTGAGAAGACAGGCGGGAAATGCCTGGGAGTAACCAGAAAAAGAGAGAAATGGATGGACTTGAAAACATAACTTGTGATGTGCGTTACATTCGTAAGCCAGACACCCAGAAGGAAAGTTATTATGAGAATATCCAAGAGTTATTCAGAAGTTCCAGAGGGGAAACAGGGGCAGGCCCCCTGCAAGTAGCCATGAGGGGACAAACCAGTACATACCAGAAAAGAATCTCCCTGTCCAAAAGGAACACTCAGAATGATCTGCATGAGGATGTGGAGAAGGACTTACCATGATGAGCCCTTGTCTGTTCTGCAGCAGGGTGAGTGTGATCCCGTACACCTGGATGGACACCTGCTTGGCCACGGACACGTTCCCGCTGCCCCAGGATTCTTTCTCTATACGGATGGTGAATGGCGTCAGGTTGCTGGAGTCAGTGCAGGTCTTGGCCAGGATGTAGGTGCAGGTGCCTTGGAAGTCAAAGGGGACCCCATCGAAAGAGAGGTAGTGGGGATGGCCAGAGGCAGAACAGGTGGCAGATCCAAATGGGTGGCATTTCCGGACACCGTCCACCACCCCGCATTGCTCACCAGTACCACAGGTAAAAGCCTTACACACAACTTCTCCCCCAGCCTGACAAATGCACTGCTCCTCGCATGAGCCACTTGGGTGGAAGGTTTCCCCGACCTGGTAGTAAAGCCCTCTGTGGAGACATCCACACTGGGAAACGGGGACACAGCGGTCGCCACTGAGAACAAAGCCCTCGTCACACACGCAGCCTTCCTTGCACCGGGTCGTGCATTGCACCGGGGCATAGAGGTTGCTGCATGTCAGATCACAGCTTCTGCTGCAGAATTCATAGTGACTGTTCTGGGGACAGGATGCAACTGTAAGAAGAACAGAGTTAGCTCACCGAGTGCATTAGCAATGTGCACAGAGAGCCATTGCAGGACATGCAATTTCATTCAAGCTCCTAATTTTCTGTTTGCTTTGCTTTGGTTAAATAGCTAAAGGCATCACCCAAGGTCTGAAGCACTGGCCTAGTCAGAGAAGCCAGACAATGGGATATATAAAATCATGAGTGGTGTGGAGAGGGTGGATAAAAAAAAGTTATTTATTAGTTCCCATAATAGAAGAACTAGAGGACACCAAATGAAATTAATGGGTAGCAGGTTTTAAACTAATAAAAGAAAGTTCTTCTTCACACAGCGTGTAGTCAACCTGTGGAACTCCTTGCCAGAGGAGGCTGGGAAGGCTAGGACTATAACAGAGTTTAAAGAGAAGCCAGATAATTTCATGGAGGTTAGGTCCATAAAAGGCTATTAGCCAGGGGATAGAAATGGTGTCCCTGGCCTCTGTTTCTCAAAGGTTGGAGAACGATGACAGGAGACAAATCGCTTGATCATTGTCTTCGGTCCACCCTCTGTGGGGCACCTGGTGCTGGCCACTGTTGGCAGACAGCCTACTGGGCTAGATGGACCTTTGGTATGACCCAGTAGGCCATTCTTATGTTCTTATGGGATCGGAGACAAACTCTTTCCAAGGACTACGGTTCTAATTCGTGTTTTGGATTCATGGTTTGACTAACAGCTTTTTGTTTGGAATCCAGGACAGTAGTGTTTAAAATCCAAGTGGTGGCTGGTATGAGATTAATTGGTAGGTTCCCAGCCCGGTCCCAATGGACAAACATAACATGTTCCAGTTTCAGCAGGGAAACTCAGGACTAGATGGACAAAGAAGAGGCCACTGCCAGACAACACACTTACAGGACAGGCAGAGTGGACAGGTCCAATAGATACTATCTGTGGTGTACCTATTCTTAAGAGGAGAGGAGACCTTTAAAAATGTTCTGCAGAACAGGATAAGCTTAGTGTTTAGATCAACATTTGCCAGCCAACAAAAATGAACAGTGCCCATATGGCAACCAGTGGTAAACATAAGGGGACTCACAGCAGAATTTTGGAGTCCTCCAGGAATACACCACAGCTCCAGCTTCCTGACATGCCTCGGCATAGCCAGCAATGGCCTGGCAGACGCTACTCTCCCGCCCACTCAGGAAGCAATAGCCGTACACACAGTCTATGAAGTATCCATGCGGGTCCACTTTGCGGTGACATCCTCGGAAGGGACCAGCCCTGTACAGAATGAGCCCACACTGCCCTCTGCTCAGTCGCTGCTGTTGTTCAATAGCTTCTAGATTTGCACATGGAGGTATCGTCACTGCAGAGCATCCAGGGACGTCTCCCACCTTCCAGCTCTGGCCCAAGCTGCCGGGGTTGGGTGCCAGCGTGCCGTCCCTCATCAGCAAGTCGTCATCCCTGTCCCTGTTGAAGTTGCCACACAGACCACACACGGCCCCCGCGTAGGTGACAGGCAGCGTGACTGTGGTGCGCCCTGACCATCCGGTAAAGGTCACGCTGAGGCCAAAGTCTGTCTGGATCACTGTGGCCCAACCCTTTCTATATGCTGTGATTTTCTTATCCTCCAGGTAGAAGGGAAGATTCATCAGGAGACCATCCACCTGTTAATGCAAAACGCAAGGGATATGAAACAACACTCACCAATGGTGGAAGTTCCAGCCAGATTTTGATTTCCTCTGGCACTGGCTACTTCAGTTCCCCCTTCTCTGTACTACTTAAGTCCCAGCTCCTCAGGTTCTCACATATTCTGGATGCCATTGGCATTTCACAGAGATATAAGATAACCACATGGCCACAATCCTTAAGCTTCTTTATTGGCTCTCCACTCCCACAAGAATTCTCTTAATATTTGCCTTGCTCTTGAAAATCCTTCTATGCTTTTTCTGCAACTGATTTTTGATCACACAAGTGACTTTCCAGAAATATTTCAGACACTAAATGTGATTTCTGAAACTCACCATAATTTTGCCAGGAAATTGAGTGCTGACCCTGAGGTCTGTCTCAGAAATCCTGATCTGGAGAGGAGTGGTGTTGTTCTCCTGGAAATAAACTTCAAAGTCCACCAGCCCCTCTGCCTTCTTGCACAGAGCTGTGAGCTGGTAGCGACAGGTGCCTTGGAAGTTATATCTCTGACCATCAAAGGTGGTGTAGTGTAGATTCCTTGCCACAGAGCAAGTGGCATATCTGGAGGGGTAACAGCCCCGGATGCCATTCACTAGTCCACATGTCTCTAAACGTTTGCAACTATCAGGCACGCATTCAACTTGTCTAGAGTCTGCGTTGCATATGCACCGTGTTCCACATGCCTCATCCAGCCAGAAGCTCTCATTGGGGGCATAGGGGCGCCCCTCAAACAGGCACCCACAGCCGCTCTTGGGTATGCATTTCCCCTGGCTCAGCACAAAACCATCCTTGCACTGGCAGCTTTCCACACAGGGGTCTTGGCAGTTGCTGGGGGCCGAGTGGTCCACACAGGTGGCTGGGCAGGCTGTTCCACAGAGCTGGTACTGGCTGTTCTCCAAGGGGCACTCCAGGGCTGAGAGTGAAAGACCCACAGATTTAGCAAAAAGACCTCTCCATCTTACTGACCACAAGAAGAGACAATGATGCTCAGCACATTGCAAGAGGTGCTTACCACTTTAAACAACCAGGCCAATAAATGGATAATTGACTTAAAAATTGGCATCACCTTACCTCAGCTTCCATGCTATATATTCAAAGTGACAGCTCCTATAGAAATAGCATAGCATAGCATAGATAGACAGGCAGGATGAAGTACTGTAGGTACAGTACAACCAAGAGCACTAGCCCACACTCCCTTCTGAGGAAAACAGAATGCAGGAGTGCTGGCCCCCGGGTCCTTTCATACAACTCTATACTCACAGCATCTGGCTAGCTGCCTCCATTTCCCAATCCTGACCCCTTCCAGCTGGCAGGCATCTGCGTAGGCTTTCAGGGCTTCACACAGAATCTTCCTGTAGCCACCATTGTGGCACAGATCGTACACGCAGTCATCCAAGTAGGCTGTAGGATCCACCTTAGCATGGCACTGGCTGAAGGGCCCATCTGAGACCTTGGTTATCAGGCCACATGAGTCCTCCTCCTTGTACTTTCTGGCTATGCTGGCGGCACAGGGCCTGCAGCCCCCAATGCAGTCATGCCAGCAATGCTGTTTCTCATCTTCTACCTCTGAGGTTTGTTCCTGGAGAAGGACACTGGGATCCTTGTCCTCAGCTGAACCCCAGGAATCATCAGAAGAGTCTTTGTTGTCGTTGCTGCACAGGCCACACAGGTTGTCGGAGAAATCACGGGGGACAGTGACCCTCAGGTGGTTCTTCCAGTCATAGGCTATGCTGAGGTTGAAGCTGGTGCGGAGGACAAGGAAGGTGCCGCTCTGATAGAGTAGAAAGACCCCGTTGTTCAGGGAGATGGGTAAGTGGGCCCTGGTGTTATTCACCTTCATAGTGCGAAAGAAAGGGCAAAGGTCACAACTGTGAGCACTAGTCTGTCAATTATATTTCATTCTGACTTCTACTCAGATGATCAGTGGGCACAGATTAAAAATTTTCAGTGAATCTGATCCCAAATCAGAACTAGAAATAGATTAAGGCATCATATTAGGCAGAATTTGCCATAGAATGTTAATTTTTTGGTGGAGAATTTCACTATTTCAAAAACTTAATTTCATCCCAATTGAGAATAAATCCAAACAATTGCCAAATTTGGGGAATAGAGGAACAGCTCTGACACAGTCCTCCTGAAAAGATGTAAGAAAGCCAGGTAAGCAATCTGGGAGAAGACTAAATTGCTTTTGGAATTTGCCTGGTTTCCATTAGAACATTGTTGAAATTGAACCAACTTCTCAAAACCTTTTGATTTTGACAAATTGAAAAATACAGGACTAGAACTAAGAATTGGGACTAGGACTAAGAATTGGTGAGGCCAACCATAGAGTAGGGGGCAGTGCTGATCCACCATTTTGCCAACCTTAAGAGATCAAAAATCATGATTCCATCTCTAAAACTCATGAAATCGGCCACAAGAAATGAAGAGCTTTTAAAAAAGGAGAATGGTGTGATTTTCTGTCTTTTGAGGTTAGAATTTTCCCTGCTGTCTCAGGGCGTGTGTGTGGCAATTCATGTTGCTCACTCTCCTAAATTTATAGGGAAGAGGATTTTGGTCCCGCTGACAGGAGATGTCATCCTCACATTTGCTTGGCCATGTTGGCAAGATTATTAATCCTGACCCCCAATACAATGGGTGAATCATAGAATCCTAGGGCTGGCAAATACCTCAGGAGGTTATTGAGTCCAACCCCCTACCCAAAGTAGGACCAGCCCTAACTAAAGAGAGATATGGAGAGAACTCTACTCATGTTCCACATTTCATCAGTCCAGCCATCTCAGTGACCCCCCATCATTCTAGATCCCCCAGTTCAACCCCAAACTCACATCCCCATTCATCCAACTCCCCCAAATCAGCCCCCTATTCTCCATCCCCCATCAGTCCAGCACCCCTCAGTTCATCCCCCACAGCCTCTCCTCTGCTCCTCTTGGAATTCTTCACTTACCCCCAGGCCTGGGGGGAGGCTACCATGGGATGGAGGCAGTTCCAGGGGCTCCTCACCCGATTTGCCCCATTTCAGGAAATGTGCTGTAGGGATGGAGGCTTGTACGAGCCTTCCCATGCCATTGCTCCCTCCTTCCCCCACCCTACCATATCAGAGAGGTGAGTGGAGGGGGGTGACTTTGTGGCTGGCATGGGGCTGGACTTTGCCAGGGACCGGAGCTTTTCATACCATCACCAGATGAGCCTCAGCCCCATATAGAACCCCAGAGTTGGCAATACTGGGCTTGGGCCAGTTAGAGCCATTAGTGTCGGCTCCTGTGGGGGAGGGGCCATGTCAGTTAGAGCCAGTAGTGAGTGTCTGCCGCGGGGGAGGGGCCATGGCAGTTAGAGCCATTAGTGAGTGTCTCCCGCGGGGGAGGGGCCATGTCAGTTAGAGCCATTAGTGAATGTCTCCCGAGGGGGAGGGGCCATGGCAGTTACAGCCATTAGTGAATGTCTCCTGCGGGGGAGGGAGCCATGTTGGTTAGAGCCATCTGGGAGCAGCACTTGAGAGGCAAGAGGTCTCAAGGAAATGTCTATAATGTTCTGGGGTTCCTGAGGTTCCTTAGTTGCAGCAGGTTCTCTGAAGCAGAGCCCCTGATCTGCCTAGATGTGCCTCAGTTTCCCCATATCTTAGAGCTGAGTGATTATCCTCACAGGTTCCCTTTTACATTAGAAATTACCAGGGAAGTTTGCAGAGGGACTCAGCAGAGCCATGACTTGCCCACAATAGCTCTGGTACAGGCACTAGTCCTGCACGATCAGCCATGGGAGACATCATGTCCAAAGTCTTCTTATGTTCACTTTATCAAGTGTAGTACAGCAAATCCTGTGTGCCTCTGACAGACAGCTCTTCACACTGATACACGCACCCCCTCCTCTCAGTGCAGCACCTCCTGCACCTTGCTGAGGAATTGGGTCATTGCAACTCTGAGGCAACAGTGTCCTCGACTGCTTGCCACGCTGCTTTCTGCCACACAGTACCCACTAGCACCATACTTGGGAATTGTACATAGCATCAGGTTGTACATGTGTGACCAGCACTTACCCTCACATAGCCGACCTCTGCCCTGGCCACTCTGACAGTAACTCCATCCACCTGGACAGTTACTGACCCAATGAATGAGATCTGTGTGTTCCCACTGCTCCAGCTCTCAACTGTGATGTCAAAGGAGTGTGGGTCACAGTCACACCCACAGGTCTTGGCCACAGTGTATGTGCAGGTGCCTTGGATGTCATACCGCCGGCCGTCAAAAGTGTGATAATACAAGTAGCCCCCAGCCCAGCATGTGGCCTGGAAGACTGGCACGCACTCTGGCTGCCCATCTATCATCTTGCAAATTGTTCCTTCCTTGCAGCGGACCACACTGCAGGATGGCTTTGGAATATCTAGCCAGAAACACAATTGAAAAACAAGAAACTAGATTAATCAATTATAGTTAAAAGCAGAGAAGGGTTGGGACAGTGTTCTCCCTAAGCTGAGTGCTTGGGCAACTTCCCAGGACAGATACATATGCCACCCAGCTGATTAGCAGAATGCCTGCAGTTGGCATCATATATATCTCCTGGTGGTGCACATCCATACATTGGTACACATAACAAAATGTATTCCAACACATAGGTGGAAAAAATGAGAGGGGGCATTGGCTGGGGGCTGGTGGAAAAAAATCTGAATTAAATTTAGTCTCAGCCTGTTAAATGGATGAGATGATGGAGCATTTTGTCCTTCCTTTTTTAAGCAATCATTGTTATTAGGGTAGCGTCTATGGCCCATCTAGAATGGCACCCTTCTGTGTTAGGTGCTGCACAAACCCAGAGCAGCAGAGGGTCTCTGCCCCAAAGGGCTTAGAATGGAAATAGAGAAGACAGATACAGGGTGGGGAACAAGGGATAATGTACAAGCAGAGTGAATAATATAAAAACATGTCAATGCCGTGATTTTTTTATTGTTATTAATTATTATGTTGAGTGGATTGGTGCCACCAAGGATCAGTTGGATGAAAAGTAAATAGACAGCAACGTGGGGGAGGGGACATGGCTGGAGTGAAGAGGGTAAGATGGTAGTTGTGGAAAGAAGATAGAAATCCCCTCTATACTATCTATCTATTTCGATATCTTCTCTCTATAAATCTATTCCCCACTCACACATTTATCTATCCATCCATCCTCACATTTCCCTCTATACCAGTGGTTCCCAAACTTTTCGGCATCACGCCCCCTTTTTGATTTTTGAAAAACCCTCATGCCCCCCCCCACAGCAAAACTTGTTGAGCAAAAAAAAAAAAAGGGAACTGACCAGGGGAAAAAAACTTGGGGGGGGGGGGGGGACTGGGTTGCCTCGTGCCCCCCCTGGAATTTCTTCACACATCCGCAAGAGGGCATGCCCCCCAGTTTGGGAACCCATGCTCTATACTATTTATCTATACCCAAACCTATCCAGCTAAATATCTATTGGCCCCTCCATAGTTGTTTATCCATATATGCCCCTCACATCACCTTTTAAGTCATTCTGTCATTCTCTCTGTATCTAGCCATCTTACATATCTGTCAATCCTCTTTATATGTGTCTATCCATCCATCCCCCCACTCTCTACATTGATCTATCAAAACACAAACATCTCTCTAGTCCCATACATATGCCCTTTGCACCATTCATAGAATCATAGAATTGTAGAACTGGAGGGGAACCCGAGAGGTCATCTATTCCAGCCCCCTGCACTCAAGACAGGACTAAGTATTATCTAGAGCTAGTGAACAGGAGCAGCTAACAGTGAGTTTTGTGAGGGAGTTCACCAGGTGAAGGAGGAGAGATTATGGGACCCTTGGGGGTAAGTGATTGTAGTGTGCCTGTGTTTGTGTTAGGGGGATACTTAATGGTTGCCTGAAAGATACTGTGCACTGAGATTGTGTATGTTTATTTGGAGGTCCATGTGCCAAGCTGTTTGCTTTAAGAACTATGTGGTGAGACTAGCAGTTAGAAGCTTCTTAATGAGGCTTTGAAAACTAACCCTTTGATCATTCATCAAGCCTTAACCAGGGGGCAGGGCTATCAGGAAGGCTCCTAAATGACCAGAGAGCTAGTGAACAGGAGTAGCCAACAGGAAGTTTCATGAGGGAGTTCTCCAGGTGTAGGAGGAGTAATTATGGGACTCTTGAGTAAGTGGTTGTCTGTAATGTGTGGGTTTGTAGGGTACTTGCTGGTTGCCTGAATGATACTGTGTGCTAAGCTTTTTTATTTATTTATTTATTTATTTATTTTTGCCTGTTTGTTTGGAGGTCCATGTGCTGAGCTGTTTGCTTCTATCTAGGATGGTGTGCTGAGGCTAGTAATTAGAAACTGTGCAGGGTCTCAATACATGGATGAGATGATGGTGTAGGGAGGAGGGATTTAGATTTATTAGGAACTGGGGAAACTTTTGGGAAAGGGGGAGCCTATATTGGAAGGATGGATTCTACCTTAACCAAAATGGAACCAGATTGCTGGTACTTAAAATTAAAAAGGTCATAGAGCAGTTTTTAAACTAAAGGCTGGGAGAAAGCTGACAGGTGTGGAAGAACACATGGATGAGACAGAGACATCTCTTAGGGAAGGGTCTAATAATAGAGATTCTCTGTGCTTTAGTAAGTAGGAGATGATAGAAGATAATAAAAATGGGTAAGAACAGATGATAAACGGCCAAATAAAAAAGGGTGCTATTCAATCACATCAGGAAATGGCAGACAGCTAAAAAACATTTTTAAACTGCTTATACACAAACGCTAGAAATCTAAACAATAAGATGGGTGAACTAGAGTGCCTCATATTAAAGGAGGACATTGATATAATAGGCATCACTGAAACTTGGTGGAATGAGGTTAATCAATGGGACACAGTTATACCAGGGTACAAAATATATCAGAAGGATAGAACAGGTTTTGCTGGTGGGGGAGTGGCACTTTATGTGAAAGGAAATATAAAGTCAAACAAAGTAAAAATGAACCAAACTGTTCCATGGAATCTCTGTGAATAGTAATTCCATGTTCTAATAATAAAAATATAACAGTGGAGCTATATTACCAACCCTCTGACCAGGATAGTGATATTGACTATGAAATGCTAAGGGAAATTAGAGAGGATATAAAAATTTTTTAAAAATGTGGAAATGTGAAGGTGCGGTGCTGCCCCGGGAGCTCCCCTGGCTGAACAGGCCCCACCCCAATGGCCCTGCTGGGCATGCTCGAGAGGGAGGCTGGGGATAAAAGCCCGGGCAGACAGTCAGTTAAGGGAGATAGCTGGAGGGGGAGGAGTTCAGGGAGGAGCTGCTGAACTGCACCAGCTGCTGCAGCCACCCCGGGAGCAGCAGCCCCAGCCCCCACCCCCGGCCCAGGGCAGG